TAGAAAACTATTGAAGGTGTGTATTCCGCTACATCTGGTGTGAAACAGCGTTTCAGGAAAGGACAATTCTACCTAAGCTAAACATGGTGGCAGAAGTGCAATGGTTTTGGACTGCTTTAGCACCTGGACAAATTATTGATACAATAATAAATTCTGCTCTCAACCAGAAAGTTTTGAAAGTCTGTAACCTTAGTCTGTATCCATTCATAATCTCAAGGGGATTATAAAATACTGTGATATGTCACACTGGATGGTTCTAACAAACAAAATGAATGGTGTAGTCAAAGTCTGGACTTTAAATGTTGATGTGTTACCTTTAAAACAATTCTACAAATAAGAGAGTGCCAAAATTCACACACAGCAATGACAAAGACATTGGTAGATTTTGTAACCACTTGATGTCTGTTGTAGCCAACACATTAGGATGAGGATGCAAATTGTTTTCTCCTTAATAGATTAAATAATAATATGAAATCTGCATTTGGATTTAGTTAGGTAATCCTTGATCAAATTTATACAATGATTTTAAACATGTACAAAAAAGAAAAAACAATAGAAAGTTGTAAAGGGCAAACCATTGTTTACAGCAGTGCATATGGATAAGTTGAACTAAGCTGAAGATCTTTTTTTTTTTATCGCGATTATGCACATTATGTTTTAAAATCTACAACTGAAACATTTGCCACGTACTGGAGGACACAGATCTGGGAAATGTAGCCCCTACTGTATCAAACTGACATAGGAATAACAGAAAGTTGGTCATTCTAAGGTAAAAACCCAGAGCATACAGCGTTCATGTTTTTAAATATTTATTTATTTATTTATTTATTTATTTATTTTCATTCAGACGGCTTCCCCCCCTAGAGGGCGCGCCCCATAGTTTGGGAACCTCTGATTTAGACTATGAGGCGGACTGTGTCACAGCATTTCCTAAAAAAGCAATTTGAGCTAGTTGTCATCCTGCCTTAAGTAGTAATGCTTGGTCTCTAGTTTTCTTTTAGCCTCTGTGAATACATGAGGCAATAACATCTCAACTTCTTTGTTTTTTTGTTTTTTTTTTGTTGTTTTTGTTGTTGTTTTTGTTTTCAGACCAACTGAGCTATAAGAAAATGGCAAAACAAGAACCACACTCAGGTGAAGCTGTGAGGTAACTGTCACACTATTAGGAGATGAGGCTTTCTGTCCTGTGCTGTGATTCTAAACCTTAGAGACAAAATGTGTGAACACCAACAATCTCTCAATGGAGTTAAGGTTCAGTGGTTGACAATCCATGTGCAAAAAGGATGTCTCGTGCTCCGTGAACCACCCTTTCACATTTTTTGCCCAGTGAACCCTGGCATTGTCATCTTGGAATAAGCTCATGCCATCAGGGAAGAAAACCCTCCATTGATGAAATGACTTGTATTCAGAGAGTCATCTGACCTCATTCTTTGGCCACATGATGTTGTTGAACCTAAACTTCACCCAACTGAAACAACCTCAGATAGCAGCACCGCCCCGCAGGCTTGTACACAAGACAAGATGGGCGAAATAATATTCGTCTGCATCTCTTCTTGCCCTGAGGCGGGTATATGTGGATTCATCAGACCACATAACCTTCTTCCATTGCTCCATACTCCAACTCTTAAGCTCCCTTGCAAATATAAAACTTTTTCTGCCTCATCGCTTAGTGGTTTTCTTATGACCACACAGTTGTTTAGTCTCAATCCCTTGAGATCATTATCAATGTGCGTACGGAAATATTCTTACTTTCACTATAAAGACAACGTCGGCTGGCTTGACCGAAGTGAAAAGGTGACCTTAATAACTTGACAAACTATATTTAAATGAGTTTGAGCATACAGGTAGTTCTGGTTTGTAATTATCTGATAATATGGCAGCTTCCTGGGGGATATCCGCATTTCTGGAATTTTCTTATTCAACATGCTTGTTGTCATCTCTCGCTGTACATATTTTTGACCAGCAGCGACATTACGTAGTTAAAAAAAAATAACACCAACCAATGGCTGATATGTTCTGACGCAACCATTGGTTTCTATAACAGTGACTCATATTTCTAAATAAAAGACTAAATAATTTCAACTACACAAACTTTCACTCACCTGCGACCAATAAGCAGAGTATCAAAATAGAAAGCGACAACAAAGCCGTCCGCATTGTGTCCGCTGCGTCCACCACCCGGTGAAATGTAAACCAAATCTGTATAATCTAATCTGTCCAGTCCTCTCAACTCAATTCGAAGAGACAAACGAGAGTGGACAGGTTGTAAGATTTACGTCGTGGTTTTGCTTCCGTGTATAAACCGCTTTTCTTCTACTGCTCCACCAAAACAGGAGGAGCTGTTTTCCGCACCCTACTGGTTGAGTGCATGTATTACATGGCAGTAATTTACCATTTATGGTGATTTGGCTAATCATTACCTATTTCACATAACTAGCAACAAAGGGCTTAATAGAACAGAGTGACCGTGTTCTCTCTAGGTGTGTTTACACCTAGATCAGTTTGATTAGGCATTCAGTCATCTGACCAATCACAGCCTCAGAGTGTGACCCTTTATGAGCAGCAAAGATTGGATCCGGTTGCAAGTCCTGCTGTACCTGCAATTTTTATAGTCTAGCAGAGAAATATTACAAATATGATTCAGATTTTTAATTATTTCCATAGACAAGGCTTTTCATACGCAAAACATGTATGTAAGCAATTTGCTAATTGTATTTTCATTTTGGAAAGTGTAGAAACTTATAAAACTGTTTTTTTTTTAAATTATGTTATTTCATAATAACAGAGTATAGTCCAGCTGAGGACGTTTCAGTTGAGTGACAGATGATTACAGGCAAGTGTCCAGGCACTGACAGAGATCAGTAGGTTCCCTCTCTTTGAGACCACTTCCTGTATATCCTGCTGGAAACACAAGAATATGTAATTGAGTGTTGTTAAATTTAAAATACAAAAGGTTACCTGAAAAACCAATTTAAAAATAACAAAATACAACTGCAAGACAACCGTACTTTTCCCACTGAGCCCAGTTGCTCCAAAAAGCATATAAGTGTGGAGGAGCTGCAGAGATCCACAGCTCAGGTGAAATAATTTGTAATCATTACATATATTCATCTGAATTCCTAGTGGCAAGAAGAGCAATGTTGTTGAGTTCCTGTTTGGAGTGTGCCCAAAGCAATAATGGCCACACACAGCAAACATGGAAGAATGTGCTCTGCTCAGATGAGACCAAGAAAGAAAATTTACAGAACTCAAAAACGGTGGTGACAGAATCATGCTGTGAGGATATTTCCTCTTCAGCAGGGACAGGAAGCTGATAGGTTGATGGGATTGTGAATTGAGCTCAATACAAGAGAATCCTGGAAAACTACTGAATGGTCAGATGAGGAAGTAAAGAAACAAAGTAGCTGTTGACAACTGGGGAGGAGTTTGAATGAAGACAGGCAAATCAGTGGAATGTTGTGCAACTGGATGAGAAACTGAATGGACGAGTTGCAGGAAAATGATAAACAGAGACATTAACACAAAAGAATTTTTGCCAAGCCAAGAGTTAGGCTAACACTGAAACAAAATAAGTACTACTCACTGCGTATTGAAAAACTGGGAGTGAGAAACAAAATGATCCTATACCCAAAAATTATCCAAAATAAATGCACAACAACAGCCTGAGGAAGGGTTCGAACCATGGCACAGTCCTCACTTTTGGTGTTGGTCTGTCAAACAATATCTTATCAAAACACATTGAAGCTTGTGGTTGTAATGTGGCACAACGTTAAAAAGCGCAAGACTTAGAAATACTTTAGCAGGTGTGGTAGACCGTTAATGCTTCAACGGTAACAAGATTAAGATACAACCTTTGGTGAAAGACTGAAAGGATCTAAGCTCCTTAAATCTTTATGGCATACTGAAATGATTATTGGCATACCGAGGCATTAAGACATCCCCTTTCCTGGTAACACTGGTTATAACTGGTTAAAGAGCAGTTTTGGTGGTGTGTGGTCCAAACAAGTATTAGGTGTGCGGAAGGAAGTACATAGCTGTTGCATTTTGTTAAATTTGGTTTGCAAATGTTAAAAGAAACACAAATATTTGAACTAAGTCCAGAGCCAGACATGCTCCTTGTACATCCTCCTTTTGTATATTTGCCCTTCCTTGCTCAGCTGAGCACATAAGGAACAGGATTCAGACTAAACGGACACTGGTGAATTTCCTCCTAAGATACACAGGAAAAACATTTTAAGATAATTCAGGTCTCTGCTGACTGAAGCTGCCTCACATCAAAAGTTTTTTTTTGATAAAGACAAACCTTACATATTATATACTTTCATTCCACCAAGAAGTTCTTTTTTTTCTCATACAAAATGAAGCAGGTATTTCTCAAAGTAGTTTCAAGAATAGATTTGATCAACTTGCATGTTGAAGATTATTTATGCTCTTCCAAATAATCAGTGGGAAAATTCTTTCCATTCACTTCTTCCAAGACTTTCTAGCAATTGCTAAACAGCTGCTTGCAAGTTTCCACTGTTATTTTGACTGGAACAGCAATCTTACCTCCAGTCAGACTAAACATGTTGGTCAAATAAAAGATCACTTTCAACCAAAATCGGAGAGGAGAAGGATTACAGTTGTAGGTGATGATGTGTCACGTCATTAGAGGCATTGCTGATATTTAGAGGTGTTGAGTCTGCACATATACGGTTTGTCAGTCTGAGGAAGAGACCAGAAACCTGAAACATTATTTAATTAACCCCTTAACTGTCACCCAAAAAACACTTAAAACTACGTCAATGAGTCCATGAAGACACTGGTGTCCTGATTGAAAGTGTAATGCAGGATCTTCAATTAGTGTGGAAATCTACTTTTATGCTCTGTATGCACTCACTTTCTGCAAAGAAGCAGCTTAGCTCAAAATGTGTATAAATAAATAAAACAAAATTTGATCAAAATGTTTTATTCCGTCTGATAAAATGTGTAAAATCAAAGATATTACTTCAAAATTCTAATGAGAACCCTGAGGTAATACTACTACTACTACTACTACTACTACTAATAATAATAATAATAATAATAATAATAATAATAATAATAATAATAATAATAATAATAATAATAAAACAGGAGATATATTCAATTGATCACTTCTCAGGTTTTACCCCAAACCCATGAAAATTTGTCACTACTGCCATCATGTGGCTGAAAAGTGACATGACGCAAACTGACCTCAAAAACGAAGAGGCTGTGTCAATCTTTGACTCCATCAACAGATGGCAGTATTGATACATGATGCACATTTCAAAACTACCAACAGTTCAGCAGATCACAGAACTCTTGCTAATTAAAAAGGTTCCCCAGCAAGTGCAGCTATATTCTCTGCCAGCCGTGTGTATTTATTTTTTTTTGTATTCTCAGAAATAAAATAGTACTCATTGATCCCTTCACCTCTCCCTGTGATACCCGTAACAGTGCTACGCCTGAGAGTGTGCAGTGGCTTTAGAGAGGAGATAATGATCTAAATGTTAATTGGAGGTGTTTTACATCCCAGCTGGGTGCGGGGGACCTGTGGGTTGTTGTAATGAATATGTTTTAATTGTGGCAGGCTATTTGACATTTGAAAAGTCCAATGATCCCTCTCATTCTTGACACCCATTTGCATTTCCATCTTTAAGGTCAAACGGGTATGAATAATACATTAAGGAGAGTCTTAAGCTCACAGCGAGCCATACCTGTCGTCACAAAGGCACCAGCTGAGTCTTGCTAAGCTCAGTGAATGCTACAGAAACAATCAATTAATATCACTTTAGGAAACCGCATGTGACGCCAGCACCGCATCCTGTTATTAGTGGGACTATAAGGTCATGTAGTCGATAGCAGAAAGAGAATCGAGTCTTTCTGATTACACTCGTGGTTGCTGATCTGAGCAGAGGTCTGCATTAATACGGAGCGACTTTCTATGAGCAGCTTCAGGACATGTGAAATGAAATGGTTAGCCTGGAATAAGTCTGAGATCAAAGCAGAACCTGGGAAGGGAAAAAAAAATTTAAAAAAATGAAAAGCAATCCTGGCAAGAGATTGCTGGACTCTAATGAGCAAAAATTAACATGAATTAAATCTGACCTCGTGCTTACATGGCAGATGTTGAGAGGAGCGGCATCCAGACACATTAAAATAATAAAAAAAGATCAACTCAAACCCTGCAGCTGATTTCAGTCATCAAATCAAATCGATCATCATTTAGATTTTACAGATTCCTCTTCGACATGGAGGTCAGATACACGATGAAGTGCTGCACACGGTGCCTCGCAGGGGTATTTCCTGCATTTTACAACGTTACAACCACAAACTTTAATGTATTTTACTGGATTTGTTTTATGGGATGTACCAGCAACAAACTGGTGCATATTTGTGACATTGATACAAGGATTTTTTTTTTTTAATTGTGGCATCCATTTATATTCACTTCCTTCTATTATGACATCATTAAATTAAATCACCTTTCAGATGTCTACAGTAAAAGGAGTCCATCTGTGTGTAACTCAATCTTTTGTATAAATCCAGCATCACGGAGACCAGTGACCGCAGCAGACAGGCCGGGGAGGAAGTTATCGAGAAATTTCAAACATGGTAAGATTATGAAATGATGCCCCCGGCTACGAAGTTTTCATGTGGAGTGAGTATGAGACACTTACTATAACGCCTGGCCGTCCACTTGAGCTAAGAGGGCAAGAAGATAATTAATCACAGAAAACAAGCAAAAGGCTTGTGGAAACTCTGGAGGAGCTGCAGAGATGCGCGTCTCAGAGAGAAGGACAATTAAACAGAAAATCTAACAAAATCAACTTTTATGGAAAAGTGTCAAGAAGACATTATGAGCAAAGAAGTTTTCAACCACATGGTTGCTCAGATGAAACCATTCTGAGTTTTTTTTTGTTTGTTTGTTTTGTTTTGACCAAGATGCAAATTTGACTACAACAAGCTGTGAAAACTAACATTTCACATCACTCTGAGAACTTCATCCCCACGGCGAAGCATGGCATCATGCTGTACGCATCCAACAGGGACGGAGGAAGTTAGTCAGTTTATAAGAACATGAACAGAGCAAGAGAGAGGGCAATCCTGTAAGGAAAGCTGTTAAGGACCTAACATAAACAAAAGGTGTTCAAAAAAATACCTCCAAGTTAATAATGTAAAAAAAATAGTTAACAAGTGGTCAAACTACAAAGCAAAACAGATCAAATGATAAATAACACACATTTGGTCAGTTGGTGTTCAGGTTTTTCCCCATTTTTGAAGGCATTTTGTCCAACTCTGTGTGTGGCTCCTCACAGCGTGCAAAAGCCTTTAAACTG